CCAAGTATGATACTGTTCTACAGATACTGTTCCAGGCAACATGCTCAAAGTATGTGAGATAGAGTTTTACAATCCTTGTCAACAAGGAACAACCTGATTTCACCCTCTCCAGGACAGACCTGTTTGTTTTCTTGGCAGTCCCTGGTGTGTTCAATACTCTTTTCCAGCATCACAACTCAAAGTCATCAATTCGTCTTCTGTCATCCTTAGTCATTACCCAGCTCTCTAATATATAGCAAGTAATTGCAAAGACCGTGGCCTGGATCAGGTACACCTTCATCTCTAGATGGACATCATTGCCCTTTAGCACTCTGGAAAGCTCCCTGACAGTAGATGTTCCTAATGTAATTTGTGTTTTGAATTCCTGACTGCTGGCACTAAGACTCTTGATTGTGGAGCTGAGCAAGATGAAATTGTAAACAATTTCAATCTCTTATCCATCTGTAATGATTCTACCCATTGGCCTGGTAGTTAGAATTTTTGTTTTCTTGATGTTGAGTTTTAATCCATATTAGATACTGCAGTCCTTGACCTTCTGCAGCAAATGCTTTAGGTCCCCCTCAGTTTCAGCAAGCAGGGTTGTGTTATTTGTGTAACACAGGATGTTGATGAGTCTTCTTCCAATATTAATGCCATATTCCTCCTCTTAAAGTCTAGCCTCCAAAATGATCTGTTCAACATATAGATTGAAAAGGTATGGAGAAAGGACACATCCTTGACACACTACTTTCTTGATTTTGAACCATGAAGGGTTTCTTTGTTCTATTTGCACCACTGCTTCCTGATCTCAGTATGTGTCTCACATGAGCACAATTATGTGTTCTGGGTTTCCCATTCTTCTCAATGTCAGCCACAGTTTGTTCTGATCCACACAGTGAAATATGCAGTGTTTCTATGACATATATCTTGGTCTTTTCTCCCCTCTGTCCCCATCTTTGTAATGACCTTTTGCAATCTTCATGGATGATTTTTTTTTTATAATTTTCCATTTGTTGTATTTTTGAAAGGGAAATAATAAATAATTGCAAAATAATGCTTTATTTATTCAGTTGAGTGTGTAAAGTTGAAGAGAAAGGATGAAAACACTCTTTTAAAGCAAAGGATAATTTACTACTACTACTATTACT